AGAGATGTGACCCCTGTTGCTGATGAGGTGGCCGAGACAGATGCCACCCTAATATTGTTAAGGCCGAGACATGTGTGACCCTTAATGCTACTGAGACCGAGACATGTGATATCGAGGCTACTGCTACTAGTATACACATGTTATGGCTTCTGCTTTGACAGAGCAATATGTGCAAACTCTCGGAGAGTTCCCCGGAGGTCTCAGTGACCGATCAATTCTTAGTGATTATTTCGACCATGTGACATACCTATTATGGCAGGGAAAGATATATATATATATATATATATATATATATATATATATATATATATATATATATATATATATATATGTGTGTGTGTGTGTGTGTGTGTGTGTATGTGTGTGTATATATATATGTGTGTGTGTGTGTGTATATATATATATATATATATATATATATATATATATATATATATATATATATATATATATATATATATATATATATATATATATATATATATATATATATATATATATATATATATATATATATATATATATATATATATATATATATATATATATATATATATATATATATATTCAGTTGAACATTAAATTATTTAGTATTGATAATTATTGTATTTAAACCAACTAATAATGTTTTTAACTTTGTTTGTTACAGGATAATCCCACGCTGAATATGACATTACATGGGTCAAAGATGAAGAACTTTTGTAAGGTTTTGATACACGAGCAGGTCATGCAGATTGTTGTTGATTTTAGTCTCCCATCATTTGTCGATTGCTCACTCACCATGCTTGACGCTTCACTCTTAACTTTCTTTGTTGAGCAATGACACAAGGAAACATCTTTCATTTAGGGAGATGACTATCACTTTGGATGATGTCTCCTCCTTCTTTCATCTTCCCATCGTTGGTAGATTCTTCACCTCTCTTATTAATAACTAGAAGCTTGCATGTATCATGATCGTACTGGATTTGGGAGTTATTTAAGAGGTCATTCTAGAGGAGTTTGATTTTAATAGGGAGCTCACTTTCGCAATGTATTGGCTTCAGGATAGGTATTGTAAGTTAGGACTGTGCCTAAGAGGGGGAGGGGGTTGAATTATGTCTTTTAAAAATTTATCTGGTTTTTTATGGATCTTTGTTTTATCTTTTCTGATTAGGTTAAGCAATGAAAACGGTAAAGTAAGAAAAAGTAAAGAACACTGAGAGTTATCCCGGTTCCCCTCATTATTTGAAAGTACTTCGGTCCCCTTACCACGTGTAAAAGAATTTATCATAGTTAGGTCTCCCTAGATAAGATTCTAACCAAGTTATCAAGAACAATCCTCTTGAAACTTGTTCAACTAAAAAAGAAAATAATCCTCCATTTTCTTGTAACCTTATCTCCGACAATCCTGGATGATAAGTAACTACACTTAATATCAAACAATCCTTGATACTTAGGAATTTACAACAAAACAATATGTATAGAAGTAGATGAAATTTATAGAATTCTTTAAGACTTATTCTAAAAGAACAAAGCCTTCTTCTCTTTCAAGTATGAAGGTGCAAGAGCAAATACTCTCTAAGTGCTCAACATACTTTATTGAAAATAATATGAAAATGTATTTCAAAAAGTATCTAAGTATGAAAGTTCTGTTGAAAAATATGCAGAGAGATTTTGAGATTTTTATTGAAAGAGGTGAGTGTAAAATGAAAAATTGAAATGAATTTATAGTGATGAAAGCACCATTCAAAAGTCATGGCAATGATTAGAGAAATTCTAAAAATTTATTTGAGAAATGATGTAAAGGTTGCCATGAAAAGATATGATAAAAATGTGCAATTAAGCAAAGTATTTTTCAGAAAACACATAGGTGCAATCGATTGCACCAAACCCACAATCGATTGTACCAAATATAACATTTAGATATTTTTGAAAAATAACATGTGACAATCGATTGTGCAAAGATGACAACCAATTGTTGCTTCAGAAAAATGCAATTTCAAAAAAGTCAATGGCTAAAACGAATTTGATGCAATCGATTGTTTCCAAAGAGCAGTCAATTGTCATCATTGAAAAAATGAAAATTTGCCTATGAAATTGAACCAAACTCATGAATCATCTAGAGTTTTAACCAAGACATTAGATGATCTTTGACAATTGTTTTAACATGGTTCAAAATCTAAAAAACTTTGTAATGCATGATTAAAAACTTGAGCACAAAGATTGTATTAGTTAAGAATTTCATATACCTAAAATTTGATTAATCCCATCTTGCAAGTGAAATCAATCTTAAACAACTTTTCTTTTTCCTTTTTTGATCATATCATTATTTATCTTGTCTTCATCAAAATATATTGGAAGCTTGTCTTCACAAGTATGTTGAGCTTGTGGGGGACATATGTATGAGGCAGCCATAGGGGTATACATGCTACATCTAGTAACATGTACTCTCTTTGCAGATAAGTCTCATGTCTATACTGATGTTCAATACTTATGGTTTTTTAAAAGTCTTGAGCATACCAACTGGGCTTGGGGGGTGCATTGTATTGATTATCATATATGTTCAAAATTCTCATGTTTATATGCAACATTTGTAATTTAGTTCTTATTTAATTGTTATGTATGACATTTCTTGACTTGTCTATGTTATTTTATCAATGCAGGATATACAAGCATTTCCCTACCATTTATAATAAGAGGGTACAACATACCCCTGTAGGCTCCCTACGGGCAAAGAGATGGAAGGCCAAACAAGTATATCCAGGTGGTGTTGCATAGTACAAGGCTTGATGCGCTGACAGTAGACGATGTCATCTGGACACCCTATACAAGTCATAAAATCCATCGTGAGTTTGACGAGTCTTCTGTATTTTCAAGTTATATGCAGTGGGAGACCTTAGTGGCTAGACACTTACTTGAGAGGTGTATGTGCCAATATAGGTATGTGCAGGGCATCCCACGTCGAGTTCCTATTGTTCCAACTTCGGGCATTGACGGGTGGTTTCAGAGTAACATCATCAGTTATGTTTATGCCACTATAGATAACATAATGAAGGTTCATCATGATGCGTAGTGTGAGGATGGTTACCGAGAGTGGTACCTTACTGTATCACACCCTCGGATCATCCCACTTATTAAGCATATGAATGATGATGTTGTGCCTTCCGATGTCGGGAGACCTGCCGATGACGTGACGCCGCTTCCACCGTGTATTGATGACTAACATGGCCTGCAGATGATCGTTGTTATTATGGATAACCTCATGGGTTTGGTAAACTAAGATGGTGAGGTTTTTATCAGATTATCGCAGACAACACACATAGTCCGTGGTGACCTATTTAGATATTTAATTTTACATTTGTATTATTTGTATATTTTGTGACTCAGACTATTTAGCACCTTAATTTTTATTACATAATATTTTGTCGAATACATGTTTGGAAGATAATATAACTTAACACATTACAACTAATGTAAATTAACAATAAGGAACATGAAAATGTAGACACTACCAGATGATTCAGGATGTTTCAACATCTTGATTATGTCGTCAAGAGATCTTGAAATTGTCACATCAAACTCGATCGGTCCCTTAATTAGCGTACGGTGAAATGTTCTCCACATAACCTTCAAATCTTCATCGGTTTTCAACTCAATAAGGGCGTATTTCATCTTTCCATGAGTATTATCTAGTCTGCATGAAACTCGATCTTACCCGCGTTTTTGCTCTCGGTGTCGAGCAACAAACAACTTGGATCTCAAGACAGTGAGACACGTGGTACCCTCCGGAAGTCGAAACTCAACAGGAGGTTTCACCTTGTTGAAGTACACTTCTACCTTAATCAAAAACTGAGAAAGACGCCTTGTAAGATATTTATACAATTTTCTATTCATTCTAAGTCACTCAAAACAGTCGGTGCAATCAAAACCATACAAAACTGTCGGTAAAATCCTAACTATTGGAAATTTACACTACCAAATATTATATTTAGTATGGTCAAAATTTTCAGTGGTATTTCTTTAAAATACCGGTAATGTTTCAAAGATACCAAAATATTTAAAAAAACTGATATAAGTTTATATCGACAATTTTGAATTAACTACCAAATATTTTAATTGATATCAAAGTTACTGAATAAACTATAAAAAGCTTTGGTCAATCGATATGTTCCAATTTTGTATAAGAATAGTTTTGAAATTAACTACATATATACGGAAGTGTCAAGTATATATACGGAGGTGTTAGGTATAAGTTAGGGAAGAGTAGTTGAATGTTCCATTCCTTTCTGATCGATGCAAAGGATATTTATATTGTTCAATTTTTTTTTTCTCCTCCTGAACTATTAGTTTATTATTTCTTGTTATATCTTAGTAGTTCCTACATTTTGTCATTATAATAGATATTTTATTGCATTTTTAACATCTTTAAATTCTTTCTTTCAATTTCTTTATTTTTTAACAAAATATTATTCTTTTTTAATGTGCTTCAATTTTATTTTTATTTTTATTTTGTTTTTTTTAATAAATCTATTTTGTAATCAATACGCGAATATATCCTACTAGTTATAGTAATGAAAGAAATTGATAGATGAAATGGAGATGATACGGACTAGTAAAAACAAGGTGTCAGAACCAAAGTACTACAAAAATTTCACATGAAATGGATGCCTCACTACAAGCTTGTACCTCGAACTATATAACATTCAACCTATATAAAATTTTGTATTTTCCATGATAATATCAACCCCACCCCCCATGAAGCAAGGGTTAATGGAGAAACAATGACTACAGAAAGTCACCAGCTCTTGTGACTTATCATGGCATCTATACCCTACAAAACTTGAACTCAAATTATCCTTTCCCCAACAGGAGTTGCTGAGTATCATCACCCATGAAAGACCGGCTGCCATGAGACTATATCAAGATCTTTTTTCTTTATATGTTTCTCGAATTGAAATTCGAAATATATAATCAGAACCAATAAAATCATATCCAATTAGCAGATTAACACTGGAATGCAGCTAGTGAATAGGGTGATATTGTGCTGATATTCTCCTCGGGGGCAATTTGCGCAAGATGTAGAGGACTAAAGCTGAAGGCAGGATCTCAACCAGCTGTATTTGGAAAAGTGAAAAGTCAAATTCAGATTCCAAGAAAGTGAGAAATCAAAAGTCTAGTAGATATGAACAAAAAGGAACGTTTGAGTAATATACCATGTAGTAGACCAAGTCCAAAATAGGATGATCCAAAACATCTAGAGATGCATCTGAATCAAATGCAGACAAAATACCCTGCATGTTAATCAAAAGTATGATTAAGAAATTATTCTGTTTGAATAATAATACCATACAAACTGTTATTCAGTATTTGATGACTCTTATAATGCTGACCATCTAAGTTTCTATTGTGCTCTTCTGATTCCCTGTATTTTCCTCTAACCTCTTTTCGAACCGATTGTTTACAACCACATTTAACAGTTCTGCATTTCAAACCCGTATTATATGATTCTCACATATAAATTGATTTGAGTCATCTTAAGATTCTTGGGAACAAATTTTTTTATGATTTCAATTCTTGTATAATGACTTAGTTTTGATTGGTTTCTAACTCATCAAAGCTTCTCAATCAAAATAAGCTATGGTATTTTAGTACTAGCGACAAATTCCTTATAGGCTTACAAGTAATTATGGAAAAGTCAAACTAGAGGATTTCTCTAAAAATTGGGATAAAGAAACTAATTTCAACTTCTATCAGAAACTAATTTCAAATGTGTATTATTGATGCAACTAGATGGGAGACGATGACCGCCGTATTAATGGCATAACAGAATAACATATGATGATATGTCTATGACAACAGGCAAGAATTATAACTATACTCAATGACATACTTACACATACAAGCTTAAAAAATATGTTTAATGAAAGCCTAAAAAGATAGCTATCATAGCAAAGGCAAAGAAATTACCATAACACATCGAATTAGAAAGCAGGTGAAACAGATGGCTGTAACAGATCCGACCTGTAATGCACATCCCGATGTGTTACGTAAATACAAGTAATATTGAGATGACAATGCATTTTGTTATATGTTTGTAACAGTACAGAAGATGAAGAAGCAGAAAGTGGTTGTAGACCCGAACTATAATGTTTAATATATATTGAGATCACAAATGCATGACTCATTCCTTCCCATCATATGCTTGAAGATTCAGCAGTGAGTCATATTTTGAATTTCACAGAGGAAAAACTAGACATGAGATAAAGAAACGGGTAACAGAGGTAAAAGAGCTCACATGGTTTATCCTATAAGTACAATAATGAACATAGGGAAGAGAAAAACACGTCATGGGATTGGAGAATTTAGATAATGGTCTTCTCGTTCATGGTCACAACACAGTTCAGTAGCTATCTTTCATTTTGAATTAACTGGAAGTGAATTTGGACTTACTACAAATGCAAGAAATTAAGCCCCTTTCTATCATAGATACACCGAGAAGAAAGAGCTCATACCTCATGAAGTTTCTTTCTTCTCCCTTTAGATTCAATTGGGAAATGCCTCAGCATGCAAAATAATCTAGAAACATTTAACACGTACAAGGCATAAATAAGACTGTACATGTTAACCATCTATCACCAGCAAGTAAATGAAACAAAGGCTGCTGAGATATTTCATAGACAAGACGCAGAAGATTCACCTTCCTCCATAAAGCAAGAAGCCTAGTGCAGCTACAAATGACACACCTGAACAAGAAAAATAAAATTTCATTAAAAAAAAAAACTATGCATATGTGGCAAAACTCACTCCTAAGCTCTCAAGTGTATGTAACTAAAACTATCTTTGATCATAAAGCTAACCTGCAACAAAAGTCTTTCCAAAGAACTCCACAACGCTATTGTCATCTATCCAGAGGTATATCCAAATAAAAATCTAAATCCAAAGCCACACTTTAGTAATATGTCAGTGATGTTAACTATCATGCATAGCATGTGTTCCTTTTTGCATTGAAACAATGCAAGATCTATGACTAGCATGACATGCATGTGAAAGAAATTAGCTAAAAGTAAATTGTCATTACAATGTAATAGTGCAAATGAATTGCCTGCATTTTAAACTAATACTTTTCAAATAAAATAAGTTGTGGTTGAACACATTCAGTATATAATCGAAACTAAGAGTATTTGTCCATGGAATAGAAAAAAAAAAAGCGTGTCCAGTAAAAAACAATACAATGCTTCAAGTTCAATGTTCAAAGAGAGATTTCGGGATGTACATTGATGGGGCAAAAGCAACCATATTGCAGTTAGAGAGATGCCATTGGGCATTGGTGTGGTGCATTGGCATGAAAGAAAATGAAATAGATACCTGGATAATATACAAGGCAGCGTTTATTGAAATATAAATCATCTTGAGCTTATCGGTTGGTAAACTCCTTGCCTGTTCAGTCATTTGGATAAAATTAAATAATTTCCGAATAAAAGAAGTCAAAAGAATGAAAGCCAAAAAAGAAAAAGAACAAAACATCATCAATTAAGTTCCTAAACTATCATCCTCTTTTCCTTATTGTTCCTATCAACCTTGAGCCCGCGTCGTTGTGACTACAAGGTATTGTTCACTTTGGGCGTGAGAACCCTCGCGGCGGTGTGAACTTCAAGTTCACACAGACAGCGGATATTCGGGTTGAACTCAAGCCCGCGCCATTGCGGCTATGAGATATTGTTCACTTTGAGTGTCAGAATCCTCACGGCTTTGTCGATAAAATATATACAGTTAAAACATAATTTCCAATGGAAAAAGGGAAATTCGGACTTGCCTGATGATAAATTTCAGCCCAAAAAAGGACTAAAAGAGTATATGTCGAGAAAAACAGAAGTCCTGGCAGATCTAATAGCACCAAAATAAAGACCTAATTCAACAAGCAAGACTCAGTATATATAATACCAGTGTCACCATCATAGTCAAAATCAAAATTAATCAACCAACCTTAGGATGCAAAAGAAAAACTAGCTTGTGCAATCCAAAAACCAGAGCACGCACTGCAATATTAAAATACCAAAAATAAAATAAAAAATAAATGAAAATCGGAATGCCAAATTAAGAGAATATATATAAATATAACAGTAACATAAAATTAGATTGAAAAAATGAAAATGCGGAGTTGAAAATGAAAGCATTACTACCTCCATTGACAATGAAATTCATGAGATGAAAAATCTTCTGCGTAGTCCATCCATATTCAGGAACTCGTAGCTCAATTCTTACCAATTGAAACTGCGCCATAAAGAATTAACAAACATTAAAAATTGAAGATTGAAAATGAAAATGAAAATGAAAGTAGTAGATAGTATAGTTACGAGAGCGACTAAGGAGACGAGAGCATAAGATGCAGAGAGGAAGTAGAAAATAGAGGTCTGCCAAATAACGGAGTTGTTGATTTTGTCCCACCACCATAGATTTGGAATGAGAAGTGCAATTTCCATGCTCAATTTCATTGTGCAATGCAGTACAGAGAGAGAGAGGGGTATTAAAAGTTGAAATTGAAAGGAGAGAAAGAGAAAGGTTTGTGTGGCGGTTATAGTCTACCTACCAGACAGTCTCCAGCTTTTGCCCGCGCTCTCTTTCTCAACTAATCTTCTTCTACTTTGAATCATCAAATCAAACTCACCTCTCTCCATTTTTATCAATAATTTCTATTTTTGGTTTTACTTTAAATTTATTTATTATCCTTCATTACTCCACTAACTGTATTAAAGTTATATGTCCTTTCATATTGAAATCTTGAAATGAGTGTTACATTCAGTTATTGCACACATATCAATAAAAGTGATAAAGAGAAAAAAAATAATTTTCTTTGGTTTTCATTTATATTTGAAAAAAGGTTAAATATATTTGTAGTGTAGTTGAATATTTCAAATTTTATGTTAATGTTAATTTAAAAATGTTAGGCTTTTTCAGTTATAAGGGAAAAATAAAAGAGTAAAATGATGAAATATTTTATTAAGGTGGTTGACGAGACTTTGAATCTCGTTTCTACGCATCTCTGGGTGAGATGAAGAACTCAAAACTATGTAGTTCTGGGTAGAAAATGGTTTTTGTTGGTTGATTTTAGCAAAATCTATTTTGTCACAATCGACGGAAAAACATTGTTTGCTACCCAAAACAAGTGGAAAAGGAGACGTTTGCATCCAGACGAATGAATAGACAAATCATCATTCGCGCGAAAACGTTGCTAGCTTACTCACACATATAAGTGGACGAAGCGCTGTCTTACATCCTCTCGAGAGAAAATACATTTTATTTGTGAAAAGGGTTTGAAGATCGCACGACTGCGAGTAAAGAGTTTGAATTGTAACAGCCCAAATTTCATTAAATAATTAATTGTAGCAATTAATTGATTTAGTGGGATTTTATGTTAATGTTGGAAATTAATTTTTATTAATTGGAATTAATAGAAAATTAAGAAGGAAATTGGAAGGAAAGAAATAAAAGGAATATATAAGTGAGAAAGAAAAGAAAAGAAAGTTAGAAAACATTTGGAGAGAAAGAGGAAAGAAAGAAGAAAGAAGAGAAAGAGAGGAGAAGAAGAGGAAAAGTGGAAATCATCAAGAACCAACATCAAAGCTCCGATTAATCGAGGTAAGGGTGAGAAATGTTTCTATTTGATCATTGTATGATGTTATGTATGTTGGGTTGGGGTTTTGGTAGTGTTTCCATCACTTTCCATTTAGGGCAAAAGTTGGAACAATCGGTAGATTGATGATTTAATCGGTTGAAACTGAGTAATAATGCCGTAGAATAGTCGGGTAACATGTATTGATGTTGTTTATACTGATTTGGATGTGTAAGAGAGGGTTGATGATGGATTGGTGAAGGAGGAACAAAATAGGGTTCTGTTCTGCACAGGTTCGCTGGCTCTCGCCAGGCGAGCGAAGGCGAAGCTTCGCCAGGCGAAGCCTAGCGAATGCTGGCGAGTAATTATGATTAAGTCCCAGTGGACTTCGCTGGCGAGTTCGCCAGGCAAAGTGGGATGGCGAAGGTTCACCCAGCGAAGGTGCTGGCGAATGGTGGCGAATGAAGTCAGTAGCTACTGACTTGGGCTCGCTGGGAAGTCTCGCCAGGCGAAGCCTAGCGAGTGTTCGCTGAGAGAGTTCGCCAGGCGAAGGTTCGCTGCGAGGGTTCGCCAGGCGAATGTGGGCGAGTTTGACAGCATTTTTCTTTTACTGTGTTGATCATGTGGAGATGGTTTGGTTGTTTCACATAGGTGGATACCTCTATGATATGAATATAGATATGATCTATTGTGATAATGTGTGCTGTGGGTAGCCTACGGGCGTGAATCCTAGAATTGTGATTCCAAGGTTAATTGCATCAAGTATAAATACATGAGAACATAATGATGATTATGTGTGTATTAATTGATGAGTTTGTGAATGTTTGGTTGTTGTGTACAATTATGTAATAAGTATGCATGAGAACATTTTGAATATGTGTGCATAACTTATAATTGTATGATTGGTATTGCGATGAGAATACCTTGATTGTTGTGATAATTAGAGATACATGGGAATACAATGAGGAATGTATGTGTATCGTCTAATGAATTGTGAGTGCATATATGTATGCGATTGTTGTGTGAATGCATGGGAACATATGTGATATGTGTGCATTGTTGTTGAATATGATGATGTGTGAAGTGAATACATTGATAAATGTTTGATATATGTTGTATGTGCAATCATGATGAAATTCTCGAAGTGGTGAATTATTTGAATGCATGAGATTAAGATGTCGGTCTTAAGTGCATTTGTTGTGGTTGATTGTACATGCATCATTTAGTCAAGAGGCAATGTCTGTTAGTTTCGTGGAAACTAGTGGCTTGTCCCAAACCTAGAAGTGTGGGTTTGAAGGCTTAGAGGACGGGCCTTTGTGGTTATCGGTCTAGAAGTGTGGACCCGGTTTAATGTAAAAACCGAAAAAAAGATAACGGGTTATCGGTCTAGAAGTGTGGACCCGGTTTAATGTAAAAACCGAAAAAAGATAACGAAAGTCGGTACCGCATTACATGAGTTGCATTGAGTTGTTGAGTCACATTAATATATGACATATGCATGAAGTGATGCTTATGTGTGAATGATGAGATTGTGAAATTGTGAGAGTATGCATGATGTGGAAATGCTTTACAAATATTCGTGTTGTTATTATATGTGTGGCAAATATATATATAACTAAGAAATTGAATTGTGGTGAGAAATACGGAGTGGAACTTGTATTGATTACCTATATATATATATATATAATCTTATGCTTTGATTATTATGGTTATATTTCTCACCCTTCTGCTGTTTTATAATGCTCTATGAGGCATTGCAGATTAGGATGCTGGAGTCCTTTTGTGAAGTTAGTCTTCATTCTTTTGAGTCGGCTGCTCTGATATGTAACACCGGGTAGTTAGACTAGTATAGTCATTCTTTTGTGATACATTGCGATGTATCAGCTTATGTGGTTTTGTAAATCTAACTGATATGATATATTAATTTGGATAGCTTATGTGTACGTGGATTAATATTTTGAAAACGATCAAATGATTTTATCTTCCGTTCAAATTGAAAATGTTACATATTTTATGGAGCAAGTGTTTTATTGGTAAAGTTGTGACATTCTTCCTTTATACCTTATCCTAAAATTTTTACTCTGATAATTTGTATGTGCTTAATTGGTTTATATGCACTTATTTGGGGTATAGAATGGGGTGTTACAATAGTGGTATCAGAGCAGGTCGGTCCGTCCGGCCAAGTTGTTAGAGTGTTTTCTTCCTGTGTGTTATTGATATGCGTGTGTTGCATTATCAATATTGGTTGTTCTTACGTGGTTCTGTTGCTGGAATTAGTAAGATGGTTGCAGGAAGGAACGACGAAGCGATTGCGGAGGCATTGACGAGATTGGCGGGGGCAATTGGGCAGAATCCTCCGGCCAATGTGAATGTGAGGAATCATGCTGATGATGGATTCCGTGCTTTGGGGAAATTCCAAAAGAATAACCCTCCGGTCTTCAAGGGAACTCATGAACCGGACAAGGCACAAATTTGGTTGAAAGCTGTGGAGAAGATTTTTCGAGTTATGAATTGCTCGGATGCACAGAAGGTGCAGTTTGGGACTCATATGCTCGAAGAAGAAGCTGAAGATTGGTGGGGTAATACTCGCCAAATATTTGAGGAAGATGATATTGTGATTACGTGGGATTTGTTTAGAGAAACTTTTCTGGAGAAGTACTTTCCAGAGGATGTGCGGGGGAAGAAAGAGATCGAATTTCTTGAGTTGAAGCAAGGTAATTCGACGGTTGCTGAGTATGCGGCGAAATTTGAGCAGTTGATCAAATTTTGTCCTCACTATAATACTGGTAATGCTGAGAGGTCTAAGTGCCTCAAGTTTGTGAACGGTTTGAGACCCGAGATTAGACAAGCTATTGGATATCAGGAAATCAGGCGGTTTTCTGAGTTGGTTAACAAGAGCAGAATTTATGACGAAGACAGTAGGGCTAGGTCTAGCCACTACAAGAGCCTAAGTGATAAGAAAGGACAATTCAGAGAAAAACCTTACGTAACTCCTGCTGATAAGGGAAAACAAAAGGTTGGTTTTGGGAAGAAGCCAAGTGGGGGAGTTTCTACCCCGGTTAGGTGTTACACTTGTGGTGAAGCGGGGCATCGTGCTCCGGAGTGCAAAAGTGTTGAACCGAGGTGTTTTAAGTGTGGCAAGCCAGGCCACAAGGCTCTGGAGTGTAGAAGCGGCGCGGGTGTTACTTGCTATAACTGTGGTGAGCGAGGGGACATCAGTACCAAGTGCGATAAGCCGAAGAAGAATCAAGGGAGCGGGAAAGTGTTAGCTCTATCTGGATCTGAGACTGCTAGCGACGATCGATTGATCCGAGGTACCTGCTTCATTAATGGTACACCTTTGATCGCTATAATTGATACCGGAGCTACGCATTCTTTTATTTCTTTGGATTGTGTTAGAAAGTTGAATCTTGAGTTGTCTGTGATTGGTGGTGGTATGGTTATTGATACTCCTGCTATGGGTTCGGTAACTACACCGTATGTTTGCTTGAATTGCCCGTTGAGTATTTTCGGTAGAGATTTTGGGATTGATTTAGTGTGTCTTCATTTAGATCAACTGGATGTCATTCTTGGAATGAATTGGTTAAAATTCAATCGTGTGTATATTAACTGTTTTGACAAAACGGTTATTTTTCCCGATTCGGATGTTGAAAGGGATTTGTTTATGACGAGGAAACAAGTGAAGGAATCGGTGCAAGATGGGGCTACGGTATTCATGCTTATGGCAACTTTGAGGACTAGTGAAAGTGAAGAGATTGATGCTTTGCCCATTGTTAGAGATTTTCCGGAAGTATTCCCTGAAGAGATAAAAGATTTACCGCCGGAGCGAGAGGTGGAGTTTTCGATAGATTTGATTCCTGGAACTAGTCCGATATCGATGGC